TATGGTTCGCTCAACTACAGGATATTCACCCTATACGTTATGGTTTGGACGCCATTGTCCCTTACCTATTAAATTTTATATCGACTCTTGGCAAACGATTGACTGGGAAGAGATCTCCACTAGAGAACACTTGCTGGCCGCAAGAACCAAACAAATAGCCAAAACTCTTCAGGATAACTTCCTAGACACCATAGACAAATTAAAGATCTAGAGAGGAAAAGAGAAACAAAGATGGGATAGGAACCTTCGCGTCAGGCAAGAAGGGATACCTACAGGGATCCTCGTCCTGCTCTATGATTCATCATTAGAGAGAATATGGACAGGAAAACTAGCAAACAGATGGATGGGACCCTATACAGTGGTCAAAAGACTAGAAGGCGGAGCGTACTTAATAGAGGAATTAGACGGCACAAGATGGAAGGAACCGGTGTCTGGCGCCCGTCTTAAAGTATTTAAAGACCGAAAAAGAAATATTCCACATACGGGAAAACTCACGCAGAAAAATGACACTCGTACGCAACCAGAAAAAGGTAAGAAGAAGGATGAGTCCTTAGAAGAACCTACAACACCAACCACCTCCGAAGTAGGGGAGTCCTCCAATCGGCATTCATTAAAAGTCGCCGCACAAATCACTTCTCAAGTACCAGAATCCTCCAAGCAATCTTAAAAAAAACACAACACGAACTTCTAGGGGTCCGAAATATCCAACGCAAACACACCAAGAACACCAAATCCGACATTAAGAACTTGGCAACGACTAAAAGGGAGAAAAAGAAAAAGGATAAACAAGTCATCAGAAATGCCCTAACAATAGAAAAAACAAAAAACCACCGCAGGCATGTTAGATGTACTCCACCAGACAAACGCTTAGGCGTCAAAACAAAGTTCACTAAGAGAAAGTCAAACAGAAAGGAAAAACAAAAGAAAGGCATCCGAGCAAGACAGAGAGGATGATCTTGGGTTGATGGATAGAGATTAGGAGTCATCCATCTTTTGCAATTTTTTCTCCCTTCAAATCCCAATACTCGCTCGCCGAGGACGTCGACAATGAGGGGGGGGCTGCTATCGGGCGGCTACCATGCTACGCCGCCCTTTACTTTCTTTCAGAGGTGACGACAACTCCACTCGATAGTATTCTACGTGGCCGGGCTTCATCGACCATGAGACGGACCGACACTGGGACAGACGAGGTTACCAACATTTATCAACCATGTGGTAAAGACGACACGCTGGAGAATGGCGCGACGATATCATTGCTCGACGTTATTTTACATGGCAGGGACACACCGACCATGAAGCGGACCGACGCTGCTAACAAGGGGCCTACTTTATCCGGTCGGGACTCACCAACCATGGCACGGGCCGACATCACGGGCAAGAGGCCTTTGGGCCAGTTGAATTCTCTTCCGACGGAGCGGCCCCGCTGATACGCAGGGACCACCTGAGCCAAGATGAATGAAGGGATCAGTTTTTACCTACGGGGGCCGCCTGTTTTTTCCCCTAAGGGTGGTACCGTTGCTGCGTGGGGACCACCTAGGCCTGGGTGGCCTGGGGTAGGCTCGGGAATAGCCTCGGCACCAGGGCGCTACAAAGGGTCCGGTTCCTGACAGGGAAGCCCTTTTCAACGAGAACTTTTCGGGGCCCCAATCAGGGCCGGGCACAACCCCGGTGCAGAGGCGCTACAAGTGTCCGGCAGACTCGGTGCATAGGAGGTTGGGGCTGACACTGTGGGAGGGGCCCGGCAGAGTACTTAAGCTCAACCGGGCCCAGGCATGGGACACTTTTGCAAGCTCGGATCGCAGGCGCACGGGGACTGGCGCACCAGGGGTCTGTACGCACGAGCTACTAAGGCACAAGGAGCACGCACGGAGGGAGGCGCACGAGAGAGTTGCGCGCCATAGCACGCACGGAGAGAGGCGCACGAGAGAACTGCGCGCCATAGCACGCACGGAGGGAGGCGCACGAGAGGGTTGCGCGCTATAGCACGCACGGAGAGAGGTGCGCGGAGGGCACGCGTGAGCGCGGCTCATCAGCGCGCCCCTACACGTGCGGAGAGAGGTGCACACACGGCACGGGCGAGCGGGGAGCCGCGCGCATCATCGCGCACCTGCGCGCGAGAGGAGACCTCGGGGAGTCGCGCGCATCAGCGCGCGCGGGTGCGCGCGAGAGGAGGGGACTGCGGGGAGCCGCATGCGTCGCCGCGCACCTTCGCGCATTGCGGGCGAGGGCACAGCGGGACGAGCCACGCACCTTTGCGCACGCGGGCGAAGGCATAGCAGGAGGAGCCGCGCAACTTAGCACGCACGGATGAGAACGCAGCGGGGAGGTCCGCGCACCGTCGCGCGCACGGGGGAACCACCAGCGGGGAAGGTTCGCACACCATAGCGCGCATGGGAGTGCTACCAGCGGAGAGACTCGCGCACCGGCACGCAGCGGGATGGAACGGCGAGGAGACAGTCGCGCGGGACAGCGCGCGTGTGCGCGCATGATCAGGGACGACGGAGGAGAAGCGCGCGCACCACCACGCATCGCGCTCCTGGTCGGGGCAACAAGAGAGGAGCCGCGCGCGAACGGCGTGAGGGCGCTCGCCTGGTCGGATCGACGGGGAGAGTCGCGCACATCTCCACTCAGCGCGCACTTGGTCGGGGCAGCGAGAGAGGAGCCTCGCACGACGGCGTGTGGGCGCTCGCCTGGTCGGATCGACGGGGAGAGTCGTGCACATCGCCACTCAGCGCGCACTTGGTCGGGGCGGGAGAGGAGCCGCGCGCCGCAGCGTGCGGGCGCGCATCTAGTCGGAACGGTGAGGGAAGGGCAGACGCGCTAGGCGCTACGCAAGGTAGCTCCTTTGGGGGTGTGTGGTTGAAGTCACCGGGCGTCTCCCGAATCAGGTTTGACGAGGGGGGCTTCTTGCCGGAAGGGTGTTTGTCGGAGGGATACTTTACCTCATGGGCACTCCCTCAGAGGGGTACGCTACCAGGGCGGTTTTCGAAAAAGGCGTATTTTACTGAAGGGATACATTACCGAAGGGGGCGTTTCACTGAACCAACATTTTATCGAACGGCCATTTTACCGAGTAATCACGTTACCGAGCGGACACATTTATTGAGCGGACACATTTATCGAGAGGATACTTTTACCGAGAGGATACCTTTACCGAGCGGATACATTTACCGGACGGGTACTTTACCGAACAGGCATTTTACTGGGCGGACTTACGTACCGGGTGGACAGACTTACCGGACGGGTACTTTATCGGACGGGTACTTTACCGGACAGGTATTTTACCGGGCGAACTTACTTGCCGAGCGGACAGACTTATCGGACGGGTACTATAACGGACGGCCACAATACCGGGCAGATACTTTCCGAACGGGCATACACCGGGCGGTTTCATTTACCGGGCGGGTTCTTTCATCGGGAGGACTCGTTTATCGAGCGGACACTTCAACCGAGCGGACTCATTTACCGAGTGGACATATTTACATGACCAGGATACGTTCACCAAGAGGATACATCTTACCGAGCGTGTACTTCGTCGTGCGAAGACTTTATCTTGCGGGTACTTTACGGAGTGGTTTCTTCACCGAGCGGGCATTTTTACCGAAGGGACACTATTTCGAAGAGGTACGATCCGAAAGAAGAAGGTAAGAAAATGGAAATAAAGTTTTTTTACGTCTCATACTTGCATTCGAATTCAGACCTTTACTTTTGGGATGTCAAATCGGACGGTCCCTTGCTGTCGCAGCGCTAGGGATTTTTCATTCTTCTCCTTTTTTTATTTGATTAATTCTCTTTCTTTATTTAGTCTTTTCGAATTTTCAGCCCCCTTTCTTGTCATGTCGCGGGGGAATGGACGGTCTTTTCTACTGAGCGCCGAGTTCCCTCTAACCGAGTTATGGGATAGGTACAGTGATTGCACAAGGCCCAAAAAGAAGAAGGTAAGAAAAATAAATTAAAAAGGAAAAGCGAAAATGGAAATAAAGTATTTTTACGTCTCATACTTGCATTTGAATTCGGACCACTACTTTTGGGACGTCAAATCGGATTGTCCCTAGCTGTCGCGGCGCTAGGGATTTTTCCTTCTCCTCCTTTTTTATTTGATTAATTTTCTTTCTTTATTCAGTCTTTTTGGATTTTTAGTCCCCTTTCCTGTCATGTCGCGGGGGAACGAACGTTTCAAATTTTGAACTACGCTCATAAGCGGGTGGCATAGACTAGCCAACCCTTCGCATTTCGTTCTACTGCAGGCGCGGCCTACTAATTGCCGCATAGTAGGACCTCAAAAGAGGAGCAACCCGCGGCCGCTTCGGTAGGAGGCTTATCACCCCCTGGTGGGAAGTCATAAGCCCCCTCCTTGCCATCAGACGCGGGTACCCGTTAGGAGTAGTCCGATGGCTCCTTTTAAAGGGCGGGAGAAATCGGTCGGAATCAAATTATGGGGCCGCTGCGTGCCAACCTGCTGTCATTCCGATTTGAATTGAGAAGACAACCGGGATGGATCGTAGAATTGCGTTCTAGAAATGATCGCAGAAGTATTTAGCACTAATTATGTTTTTTATTTATGGTAAAATTTGATTATAATGAATTGTTTATAATGCAAGCTATTATTCTATTTGGAATTAACTCATAATTTCACTATACTCTTATTCCCTATACTCTTAAAGAATGCAAAGGGCCCAGCGTGACGCTTCCCATTGGGCCCAGCGAAATTCGGTGCGGCGGGGGGCGGGACTGCGGCAAGGGAATTCGGCGGRGTTTCGTGGGCGGCCATTGGGTGGCAGGACTGGAGTGCATGCATGGACTGTGCGTTTGTTCTTTTTTTTTAGCGCCAGCACGGCGTGCGCATCGTGTGGGCCTGTGGGGAGTGTGGTGCGTGGACAGTGGATTTCTGTTTTTTTTTTAGAGCGGGGGGTAGAGGAGGTTATTGGAGCGTTCGTTGCTTCGCATCCACGGCGGGGACAGGTTGGGGTGTACATCGCGTGGGCCTGTGGGGAGTGCGGTGCGTGGCTGGTGGCGCGGCAGCGGGGTGGCAGCGGGGTGCGGACTGCGAGAGTGTCGTGCATGGACTGTGGCGCTGGCTATGGCGGGATCTTTGTCACGTTGTTTGGCGGAGAAGGAGCGGGAGGAGTAGCGGGAGGAGCGGGAGGAGCGGGAGGAGGGATGGGAAAAGGAGCGGGAAAAGGGGCGGGAGCAGGTGCGGGAGAAGGAGCGGGAGGGGAAATGCGAAGGGGCGCAGGAGCCGCGGGAGGAGGAGCTGGAAAAGGAGGAGGGGCAGGGAAACGGGGAGGAGGTTAGGAGCGGAAGAAGGAGCACGAGGAGAAACGGGAAGGGGCGGAGGAGGCGCGGGAGGAGAGGCGGTAGAAGGAGCAGGAGGAGGAGCGGGAGGGGAAACGGAGAGAGGGATAGAGAGAGAGAGAGAGAGAGAGAGAGAGAGAGAGAGAGAGAGAGAGAGAGAGAGAGAGAGAGAGAGAGAGTTTTCCATCGACACACCGGCGAACGGGTAAGTCTCCAACCCCTCGGCTGGCCACAGGCTACTTGCATTAATAGGATCAACAAAATCAATCCGCTAGGACATGGAAATATACCTACTACACGTGTGTGTGTGTGTGTGTGTGTGTGTGTGTGTGTGTGAGAGAGAGAGAGAGAGACGCACCGGCGAACAGGTAAGTCTCCAACCCCGCGCCTGGCCTCACGCTATTTGCATCGATAGGATGAGCAAAATCAAATTGCCTGTTGGTCGGTGTCTTGCTCATTCTATCGATGGAAAACTCTCTCTCTCTCTCTCTCTCTCTCTCTCTCTCTCTCTCTCGGTTAGCCACGTGGCGGGCCATTTTTCTTTTGTTTTTTTCATAGAAGATGGCTCTGGCGGGATCTTTGTCACGTTGTTTGGCGGAGGAGGAGCAGGAGGAGGGGCGGGAGGAGGAGCGGGAGGAGCGGGAGGAGCGGGAGGAGGGATGGGAAAACGAGCGGGAAAAGGAGGAGTGGGAGGAAGAGCGGGAGCAGGTGCGGGAGAAGGACCGAGAGGGGAAATGCGAAGGGGCAGAGGAGCCGTGGGAGGAGGAGCTGCACGAGGAGAAACGGGAAGGGACAGAGGTGGCGCGGAAGGAGGGGCGGTAAAAGGAGCGGGAGGAGGAGTGGGAGGGGAGAGAGAGAGAGAGAGAGAGACTCTCTCTCTCTCACACGCACAGGCACACACACACACACACACACAACCTCCTGATCACTCGGAAACAGTCTGCCACAGTCATGTTTTTTTTGAGTGTATAGCGAATATGACGACCAAAAAAAAAAAAACAAAAAAAACAAGCAGTGTAACAACAACAGCACCGCCCCCCTGTTCGTCCCTCTCCTCTGCCGCAGCGTGGCTGCGGCGCGTCGACTTGTTATCATAATGAATTGTTTATAATGCAAGCTATTATTTTATTTGAAATTAACTCACAAGTGGTCATTTCGAATGCAGGGTACTTGGTGATTCTGAAGTTTATAAAAAGACAGTAGTTAGATCACTCTACGGTCCCTCGCTGCACTCACATGGTTGCTAACCTGAGATAGCAGTGTGGTCGTGAGATACCAGGGAGGCAGCAGCTACTCACGAGAGCGGGTGTCGATGGCCATTGGTACTAAGCTCGAGCTGTTCCAGACTGGAGTGGCTATGGCGTGCCGAAATGGACTGCAGGGCTATAAGTCGAACTGTTGGAGGCTTATAACGCCATGGTCCGTAGAAACGGGGGAAAGCCCTTGGATTACATCTTAGATTTCGATGGTGGTGATGAGGCAAAATTGAAGGTTAATGTAGAAGGTGCTAGGGAAGAGGAAATGAGGATTAACCGAAAGTTGCAGGGAGTCGTGACTGAAGCAAAGAACAGAGCGAAGCGGTGCGGAAGGGACGGGGTCACAAATGAAGTCCAAGTGAGGACCGCATACCATGAGACTGAGACCTCCAGTAGAACTACCGAGCGGGAGCAAGAACACCTGGGCTGCAATTCAAAGGGTGAGAGTGAGGCCAGCGGCGCGGAGACTCAATCTTGGCACGGATTAGAGCAGTGGAAGCGGGACCGCCCACGGACCGAGGCTGTGGAAGCCCAAAGGCCTGCTCGCGAAAAAAAAGGGACGAAGACTGCTAGGCGGTTACGAGCGGGGAAGTGGTCACATTCAGGGTGTTGATGTGAAAGTGGGGGATGCGAGTGACACATACGCGCGGGAGTCAGACTGAAGAGGGAGAGCATCTCACATCACTCCGTCGTTAACGTCAGCAGTGTCAAATTAGCTTTGCGTGTGTCTGATAGAGCCAAAGAACAAGTGAGATGGATGCAGGCTGTTAGTAGTATCCACAGTGATAACCTGTGCATACTTGGATGACGGGGTCTATGGAGGAAGACGAGGGAATTTTCGCGATTGACTTAGTTGACATCAACCGTGCCTCTGTCCGATTTGTCCCCACTATTTCTTGTGAGTGTCATCTCCATAGCGGTGAGGTGGCCGTGCGCAGATGATTGGGGTATCAAGTGCAAGAGAGTGGTGAGGCGCTTCAGTGGAAATCACAAGTTATTGTTTTGAGTGAGAAGAGACAAGGGAGAATTCTCAGTGATACTTGACATGAAGCCTTGTCGTCGACATCATCAACCTCTACTCTTGATCCACGGAGCTCCTCAATTGGCTCGAGGAACGCTGAATAATGAGCGTGATTTTTTTGTTGTTGTGGAGATTTCGTAAAAATGATCATCGTGGTTTCATCCCTCTGCTAGTGCAATGAGTGAGGTGGATAATAGTGCTAGTTCGCCGTGTGGATCCCGTGTGGTCACAGTGCAGTCACATGCTAAAATGAGGTGAAAGAGGACGAGTGCAAATTGAATCCTAGCAAACATGTACGAAAGGAGAGTTTGACTCTAAAAAAAACTGTGACTGATCACCTTGTTGATAACGTCAGTGAGCGGGACATAGTCTTTTCAGACCATCATGGGGCGCGTGAGCTAAGGCATCAAGGGGATGCTTGATCATTCAAAAGAGGACGAGCCTGGGAGGCTGGGACTTACCTGAGAGTTCATTCATGTAAATGGTTACGGACAACTTTATTCGTTACGTGCGTGATTCGCAGCGCGTTCCTTCCTGGTGTTTCAATGGCGGTCAGGTAAAGACTAAGATCTGAGCAATACTCCAGTAATCGTCGTTGTGCACCTCGTTTCTACTAAGATGAAAATGTCAGTAGTGGGGTATTAGAAGTGAATAGGGACACTGATAGCGCAGTCTCGTTGATGTCATCAGTGACATCATGGTCTCTCTTCTAAGTCTGGCCATGGTAGCTCGGAGACTCGGCGAAGGGAGTACTGCCTATGTGAGATACAGACATAGGTATGTGGGTTTTCCTATTGAGAACATGCATTGTTATCAATTCCTGGCAGTGCTGACTGAGAGAAACTACTGTTCAGATCCCAGGGTCACTATGTAAGAAGTTCAACTTGAAATTTTTTCTCTATTCAGGCATGCCTCTTCCTTTTATCTTTGATCACTCCCTGTTGGTTGCTTTGATTGAATGAACGCTCGGGTGAGAACAACTAGTTGAGGCAGACAAATGTGAAAGGCCTCAATCAAGCGTAGCGTAGTGTACGCTGTGATGAACTTTTCGCAGTGTTCAGACCATGCTGCAACAGAAAACTCGATGCAATGAATGAAGTGATTGGTTGGCCAGTCTGTTGATACGAAGTGTAGAAGACGCTGATAGAAACTGATAGAACTTTGGTGAACCTGTAACGAGATTGGAATCAGAGGTAAGATTTCGGCTGATTTATTCCCTCCCTCGTGACCCCCTTTAGTCGTCTTCTGTCCTTTCCTTTTTTTTTTTTTTTTTTTTAAAGGACTGAAGACAGTAAAAGGGGGCCACGTCTTCAGTCCTTTCTATTTTATTCTCTCATGGCTATTCAACCGGTGGATCGAGTACGGTGGACGCATGAATCGGAATTTGACTGGCTCGACTGTGAGCTCTGAGCATGATTACGCCCATTAAGATCTGACTCCCTGAATTGAGAGTAATATTACCCGTCATGCTCGGATACTAGAGGAAAGATAATATTACTTGTCATGCTCGGATACTAGAGGAAAGATGATCAAAAAGTTAGTATTACTTCCATCGATCTGAGCATGAATGAAAAGGAAGAAAGCAGTTTCGAGGAATATCTTCTGGTCAAAATTCTACTTGATGGGGATTGATAAACTCTGATTTTCCCGAGCTAAGTCAAAGATTAATTACCATTGCTGTAATCACTCACATGTTGAGAGGGAAGAGCGAATTTATGGGGGAGTTTTATGTTATTTTATTTTATTCTATTTTCTTTTATTGCTCCTTTCAATCGATTAGTCTAACACTTGAAAGCATGTAGAGGACTAAAGATGTATAGTTGACCAATAGAACAGCAGTTGTTCTCAGTAAATTACGATGAGACAACTCTGGTCGCGTGCGAGTTCCTCGCAAGTTTATCACATTGATTGTGGAACCGTATGCAGTAGATGAATAGAAATTTTCGTAGGTAACAATGATGTTTTTCGTGAATTTTAATTATTGCTAGTAGTACCCTGCTGCAGTATCACAAGTTGTACCTTGATCTCATATCCTATGTTCTGACTCCTGAGCAAGGGTGAGACGTTGAGCACCGACACTCAGATATGTCAAGTCGATTCGAAACATGTCCAAAGTTCACACCAGTGATTTTCGGTATGGGCTTGGCTTGTGATCAGAGTAGTCATGGTAAGCGTTGTCAAACGTTGAGTCCTAAAAGTGACATAATGAACAGAGACGAATCCTACTCCCTGGATCTTCCCATCCAAATAGAAAACTAAACCCGGAGTATTTTCTCGTGAAGCTTCTGTGCTGAGTATGGAGTACTCTGATCATGGTCACACAACATGAGGACGGATGCTGTGCATAAGACCTTTGGTAAAACTCAGTTCGGGTAACATCCAGGTGGGAACCACTCGGATAGGTGCAAGTGGTTCTGGGTGGACGGCACAGGCTGTGCACGAATAGTCGTACTTATCGTAGCAACTAATTAAGTAGAGAGATGGTCAGTAACATCTTTTTTCTTAAAACAAACCTTCATTCTCAACCACTCGTTGTGCGTTGTTACTTAGTAAGATCTGTGGGTAGCTCATATTACTACCTGCTTTAGATCTATCTGGCCTACCTAATTAGACTATAAAGATAATAGTGGTACGACTCGGCTTCACGCAAAATCACTACCTAACACATGAACAGAGAAGTAACTTATTGAAGTGTTCTGCGCAGTAGGGTGGAGGGAGTGTTCTGCAGAACCTTCGCGCAGTACACAATCAAGGGCAGCATCTAACACTATTTGTGCATGTCAGCGTTGTAGCGTAGCGTCATCATTAGTTACAACCAACGTGCTAACTAAACGGGCTTCTCTAAACAACGATGCTAAGTGTGGTGCTCGGCTTTGTATGACCCGCGGCAGCGGCCGCGGGGTCAAACTCGTCGGGCGGCCGCGGCTCCGGCCGCGGTTGGGTGCAGCCGCGACTTTCAGTAATTTTTTTAGACTTAAAAAAATTCTCAAAAAAATAAATAAATAATATGATGTTGTAGATCTTTTGGAGATCTACATTGTGCATTTTTTTTTTTTTTTTTTAATTTCAAAATTTCAATAACTAATTTTCTTGAGGCAAAAGGTGTTTTTTTTTTTTCAAAGTCAGTAGAGTTTTTGGATATGACCACATTGTTCAGTTTATGTTTTTACACAACATTTTTTTCCCCAGAATTTTTCTAAGCTGCCAGCCGTCCGATGAGGAGACGTTTCCCCCGGACGTCTCCGGGAGACGGCCAGGGGGGACATGTTCGGAAAATCGGACAACGACTTTTCCCCCCCCAAAAAAAAACAAAAAAGAAAAGGGGGAGGGTCTGCGCACTAGGGGAACCCCCAAAAAAAAATTCAGGCTGTTCTGA